TTATCCCGGATGCGATCATCTTAGAAGTCATAATGATCACAAAGTTCATCTTACAAAGGGTCTCCTGTAGAAGAATGCCGCCAGGTCTGTGTTCCTTTTTATTGCATTTGCTCGGAATGCCAGCCAACTATCATTTTTAGCTTTCGTGAGAAAGAAATTGATAAGACAAGTAGGTACCATCTTTCTGCGTCTGCGCGCAGTCAAGTCATATAAACTAGGTTCGCGTCACTCCATGAGTTTTATGGTGTAATCTCATCTAGGCACTACAATTTGACTATCCCTTCGATTGTTCCCGGGCAGCTTCTAATTATCCTTAGCACTCACTGTGAAGGTTGATCGATCAACAGTTGTATACCACGAGGATTATTTAAATGCTCCTCTGCATTCGCGCTAATAAAAAAATGTTGTTCATCCGAGGCTAGACGAGACGTTCCGTTCTTGCCCTCGAACGAAGCTCTCCACCGCTTCCCGGTGTTGAAGATGCTTGCTATAAAGTGATACAGTACAATGACCGATGCTATATCCGGGTTGATGAGCAACAGGCGAACAGTTCATCTAAGGGAGCAGAATAACACTGAGCACAACTGTGTCCACAGTAGATGCGTACAAACTGATTCTAGTTCACCCTGGTCGCGGTGGTGATTAGTTCGGTTGGCTGGGATGGGGGATAGTGGGCAGTTTTGATGGGTGATTCATGTTTCAAGGATGCAAATTTCGACTGATTGGACACCGGTTAACGAGTGGACCAGAATTTGACCAGTCAAGGACCCCGCTTGTTAACCTCTCGGGGAATCATCTGCTTTCTGCTTCGATTACCTGGTAATATTGTGCACATGAACAACAAATCGTGGATCGGTTTATTTTTTAAAATCTGTTGTGGTCCTGTCATCTTATCAGACATAGTTCGGACCTAATTTACTCTGAAATCCACACATCAGCATGTCTTTGCCATACTTTGTTCTTTTTTGTCTTACTCATAGTAATCGGTGTGCCCAGCATTTAGCCTGGTTGCAGTTCAGTCTAGGTAGTTCATTCATTCTTCACTTGTTCAACCAGTTCCGTTTGCAATGGATCTTTTCCGCGAATCGCCAACCATGTGCACCGGACAACTGTTTTTCCAGTTTGCTAAGACTCCACCACACTTTCAATAATACTGATGGATGTGATCATCAAACTAAATCCGGTAGATACGCAAATGAAATTAGACTAACTTTGGCAATCAGTGCATTCCTAGTGAACGATATTGTTTCGCCCAAATCACACAATTGCGCACATAGCTCCGTCCCCTGCGGTCGACAATAATCAACTAATCGTAAACCATATCGACCACATATCGGTCGTAGTCGTGAGTAATGGTCCTCCAATTGTTTCGCATTTTTGCCGATTATCATCCAACTGTGCGAACCAGAGTTAAAGAACAGACCGCATAGACAATACAACAGAGTGGCGAACAAGCTCGTTTTCAGAGATTCCTATTCATGCCAATACAAATCAATATATATATATATATATATCACTATTTGGGAATAAAATTGTCATGGGAAAATAAAATAAAATGAAAACACAGATTACTAGAAACGATTTGATCGTGAGAGACCGGAAATCGGGTTCACCACGGTCACATGTTTGGTTGTTCACTCATCCGATCATAGAGATTACTTACGATGTGTTTTGTATGGGAGGTGGGCCAGCGAAGCTTTAGCGCTTGCACAAATTGTGTTTGGGCACACGGAGGGGGATTGTGCAGACGAATGCCCACCGCTTCTGCCGCAGCCAACATCCGACAGCGAACCTGCCTTGATCATCGACCACGAACTTTGTACAGAGGTCGGAAAGCCTCGCAAACGTTCACGGTGTGATTTGTTTGAGCTAGGTGTGAAACCACTGCACTGGTGAGTGGCTTAATCGTTCCGGTGCTCAGCCACGCGGGATGGTGTTCACGAATCCGTTCGAATGATCGCCTGACCGTGCGGCCTATGTACGTTGTTCCACATGAACAGGTAAACGAGCATACACAGAATGAGACCGCAGAGTCTGGAACCTTGTCCTTCAGTCGCAAACACACAATTGGCTTGGACGTGAACAACACACAAAGCTTAGATGCAGAGAAAGTCTTATCGATTGCGCCAGATAATCTTTGTATAATCTCGGCTGATGTGTCTGTCCTCTTTGAACGGTAAAGAAATGCACACGGATTTTTTCTTAACCTCGGTGGTTTGTAAAGAGTTTTCCGTGCACTTAATCATCTCATTGACCAAACACTCCGGATATCGGTTACGTGCAAAGATCGATTTTACAGTACGGAGCTCTTCTTCTAGCGTGTCCTCACTGCAAATCTTTCTTGCCCTATTCGCTAGACAGCGAACCAGGTTTCTTTTTATCTTCAGTGGCACAAAGCTTCGGAAATGAATGTATTAGTCTTTCCATGTTGTTTTTCTATGCATGGAACGATAGACGATGTTGCTCAACCGGTAAAACCATCGCAAAAATAGCAATTATCTGATGTCGATATCCGATCAAGGTACCAAGTTAATATTTGGGTTACCTCGCGCGCTTTTACATTTCGTTCTCCTCTTCGTATTGCTCATCTAGGTTGGCGCTGCCTACGATTGCCTGCCAGAAATTGCACAAATGTTTATGGAGCGGGATCCGTCGATGCTGTATCTGGATATAGCAGTAAGTGTGTACTGTCCTCATTTCTCCTGTCTCATCCCATCCAGCGNCCCCCGCTCTATCTTTCTCTGTGTGTCATTAATGTTCTTACACCGGTTCAGATTTTTTCCGATGATACTTCTGCTTTTTAAATTAAGTTGCTCATGTTTATTCATCAGGTTCCTGGTTTCATCGCCCCCACCATGATATACCATTTTAAGATTGATTTGAGAATTGAGAAAGAAACCCTGTGGTTGAATCTGCTTGCGTCCAGCGCATCCCATTGGCCAGTTGATCACACATTTTGCCTACCCACTGATCCACGAACTGTCTTTCTGTGCTCTTTCTGTCTTGAAGTGAGGCTGATCTCAGTCTTTAATATTGTCCAGCTAGCTGACAAACGTCGGTTCGGTGTAACCCATCCGCCTGCGATACCTAATTTTGACTCGAATCGATAAGCACAATGGATGGTGCGCTGTTTCGTGCGCGCTACAGCTAAAGTAGTAGTTGTAGTTGCTCGGACATTGACGATAACTCAGTCGCCTAAGGGTGCTGACCAGCAGCTGTTATTCCCGATGGTTGAAAACCACAGCGCATGGACATGCCTCTCAGCAAGTTATTCCTTGTACTATCTATTCACACCACCCCTCATGGCTAAACACAGGAACGATTAAGTCACTCACTAGTGCAGTGGTTTCACACCTAGTTGAAACAAATCACACTGTGAATGTGACGGAGGCATTCCGTCCCCTGTATCGGGTTCGTGGTCGATTATCAAGGCAGGTTCGCTGTCGTATGCTAGCCACAGCGGAAGCGGTAGGAATTCGGCTGCACCACCCCCCTTTGTGTGCCCAAAAACAATTTGTGCAGGCGCTTAAGCTCCCCTGGCCCACCTCATATTCCGAGTGGTCCCAACGGTCGGATGACCTAACAATTATGCGATCATTGAGAATTCCATATCCGGTCCCAAGATGAACTCAGCCCAATGAGGTTATTTTCCCTTTCCCGAAACATTTGTTTACGCTTTTATGATTGAATACTGATTTATATATAAACAGCGTTATATTCACGGATTGTTCTGATTGTGCGCAATTCGCCACCTGAAAGAGTAGAGAAATGGGTTTCGATCGTAAATTGTATTCCACCGTTTCGCAACAATGGTTCTGGTGCGTCTGTGTTGTGCAGCCGGTCAGTGTGCAATCATGACCGAACATTCCAGTGAACTTGATTTTCACTTCCTGTCAAGAAAGACTTCATGCGTCCAGAGGGTCACGTTTTAGCTATCTTTGAAAGAGGAAACTGCAACACAGGTTCCCTTGGAAGGTCGATTTTAATCAGCAGATTGGATATCTTTATCTTGCGTCAGCATCGTCAACTGTCTTCTCTTCGAGCTGCATACCGACGGGTTTCATTAGAGTCCACTTGTAAACCGTCCAAACTAGATTTCCCAGTTTGACAATATCGCAATGCTTTCTGTTATGAATTCACGAAGCCGGTGAAGGACTAATGAGCTGTTTGTTGATAGAATGATCGACGCAGGAAATAAATAGGAGTTGTTCAGAACGACACGTCTCACCTGGATCATGCACGTACGTTAGACGCGTTCTCTGCACTGATACACAGTATATTTTTTTGACAAACCTTTAGACAACCCCCGGAAATTTCGTTCCTTATTTACCCTTGATTTCCTAGCCTTCACTTTCGATCCGTTCCTTGACCGCTTCTTATCCGACAGTTGGAGTCCTTTGATTGCTTGTTTCATCACTCTATTGACGTGACCGGAAGGCTGTTTCTCAGGAAGGGTCCAAAGTAGAAAAACACACTGCGCTGCTCGGAAGCCTTTAGGCTTTTAGTTCACTAGTCCCGCAGAGGCTTTATTTTCTTCAGATTTATTTTCAGCATTTACCGATTATCCGCATTGCATCCCGTCAACCAAAATCATTAACTATTCGAATGATGTAGTTTTGCGTCAAGTTATCCCAACCCACTCTAAGAAAACAGTTTATCACGAATGCAAATACCATTTTGAATGATTCGAAGGAATTGTATTGTCCTGTATTATACAACTTTTGCAAGCACTGAAGTTCATATTTCATTTTAAAAGCCAGCCGTCACAAAGTACATATTCAAGGGGGAGAAAATGTTTGAAAACATTTCGTAATCCAAGGTTAAGACAAAGTTCACTTGTTACATTTCTTTGTTGGTGAGTAAATATGCAAGATAGGGTACAGGTGAATTTCGATAAGCGTTTATTCGACACGTAACTTGGTGGAATGGGGAGCGATTTTGGGGGTGTGAAGAACGTGTCAGTTCGGCGTGCAATGGGTGGTCAAAATCTATGAGAATCCTCTCCGCAGATTTCACACAGGTAATTGTGTGATACTCTGAAAGCTTCACAGCTACCGCATACACCGGAGTAGAAGAAACGCGGCTAATAATAGTTAGATAGTGGCGTAAAACTTTGAAATACTGTTTAATTAAGCCACAAAATAACTGGGGAAGAGTAGGATAAGATGAGGAAAACATTGTGATAGACAAAGGTAGAAATAACTGACCGGAATGCACGAAATTGTCCAAGATTCCGAATTTTAAATAGTAGGCGCTGCAGTGGTGGATGTGGGTTGACCAATAATGATCGCTATCTATAGTTACACCAAGATATTTGACAGAGTTCTCCCTAGATAGATGATTGTTATTTACTACTGTGGGGTCTGTCGGATACGAAGAGCGTGTGAAACTATATAACCACGCAACACATTTACTGGAGTTTAAGGTTAGCCCTGTTGAGGAAGAGAATGATTGAATTCAACCAAGATTTTCGTTGAACTAGTTTAGATCGGTGAAAGAATCAATGGTTTGGCACAGGACAACATCATCTGCATATTTTCAAATACGTCCAGGAGTAATACAAGGAATATCATAAATGTATGTGGAAAATAAGTATGGGGATAGCACAGCTCCTTGAAAAACTCCGGAACTGCTGACTAAGTGTTTAGACGATGCTTACCCCAATCTAGTGGTTTGCACTGTATCAGTAAAATAGTTGGATAGCCAAGCAACCAAACGCTTTAGACACTCAAACAATTTCGTTTTCGGTAACAGCTTTGATCGAGGAATGGAATCAAATACCGAATAGTAGTCAAGAAAACGCCAAACAGACTTAACAGACCCGTTCAAACTCTTACTGATCAAAGGAATAACAGCGAAGACTGCGTTAAAAAAGGATTTGTTGAGCTTGTAAGCAAACTGTTTATCCTTTGCTTAAAGGGTTAGACAAGAGCCTTTTTGGTCATAAAAGCTGAAGATGTCAACGCTATGGGGCGAAAACGTTTGAAGAGGATAGAAGATTCGGATGCTTTAAAAACTGGTCTCCAACATTCAGTGTTAGTAGGAGTGTTAAGAGATTCATTTGGCAATGGAGGTGATTACCCCAACTGGGGAAGCGGCACCAAATTTGAAGGGGAATGGAACTAAATCATCCGGAGCGCCAGCAGAAAGCGATTCGCATCTATTTAAAAGTTTTAACTCATCACAATTTGATAATGGGCCCAAACTACAAACATGTGACGAGTAGGCTGGAATAATATCCGACGACTGGAGCAGAAATGCGGCATTGAGATTATCACCGTCCAGCTTCGACCGCACTTTCTTCTTTTCACAGAGAAGTCTGACATCTTGCCACAGTTGTTTACTGTTTTCAGTCCTCAGAAGTCGATCAGAGAATCATGCGTTCAATTTATTTACTCCAGTTTTGATAAGCCTGGACATTGCGGGACTTGTGTGCTCGTTCCCCTTTTGTCATCGCGGCGAACTATTAAGGTAAAGATTATCCTTTCGTTGGACACATACAAACTTTCAAATGGGCAGCAGTAATTATAAATGACTTTGATTGTTTGGGTGAATAGTGGGACACACGTGAATAGACAGCAGGGAGATGATGAAAATCATAAAGAGGTCTGTCTGAGAGACTCATTCAGGAGAGAATCATTTGCAGGTGAGAGATGACGAGAAAGATTTGTATGCAATGTGAATTAACTTCAGGTCGAACTGGGAGTAAGCAATGCTCACTTGAAGAAATAGGTGCTTCTAGTGCTAAAGAAATAAGGGTTTGGGTGGTTGGTGATTACTCTCTTCAGTATAGAGATACCTCTTGTGAAAGAATGACAAAGATCTGTCACACCTAATGATGAACGAGGATAAGTACTAGTGTGGTTAAAATCGCCAATGATGATGTGCAGGTTAACATCTGAAAGTATGACAATAAAAGGTATGAAGGAGTTGAAAAATAACATACGATGTGATTGTGTACAGTGAAGTACTTTATACAAGTTAGTCCAAATCGTGTAAAACGGGTAACTCTTAGGTGACGTTGCATGGTTAGCCAGTCAGTACCTTTTTGAGCAGTACTGAAAGATAACACGGGACTTGCCACACCGAGAAACATTGACGTATGTCACAACACCCTTTCCGGTCCCGCGATCGTGCCACTGAACTTGAAAACTATCGATTGACACTGTAGTGTCATATCCTTATTCAACCAGGATTCATTTACACACACTGCACAAGTGTTCCTATGAATTCTTGACCGGAAGACACCAGTTTCATCCGACATTTTAGCAAACTGGGTTTGAGTGTCAGTGCTGACCAATTGGTAGGAAGTCATCTTGGCCTTGTCATCCTACATGCTTGCCTTTATGGTCCAACGTGGAGAGTGAAATACTGGAGTCGCACAACCCGATGAACCATCAAAAGAAGTGATAGCACGTTTGCGACAAATAACGCAATCCCGTGAGTAGCAGCGGCGCATTGAATGAAAATTCTCACAATGTGATGGAGAGCGGGTAAGTAGTGCAGTGCAGCTCATCGAAGGGCTCGCTCGACCCAATCCATCCGCCTGTCGTTCTAATGCCACAACCAGATCCAATTCGTGCTGATTATTGTACCGGATAAACGATTATAATAGTTCAGTATCCTACCCTGTGACACGAAGAACGGCTCGTGAGAACTTGTCAGGCCAGCAAATTTCTATTCCGAAATTTATGTTCTACCATTGTTGCATATCACGTTCTTGATCTTTTCGAGCTTAAATATATAGACATGGAGTTATGCAAAACTAGCGATATCGCATGATTTTTTTTCTCGAACTAAAAATGATTGTCCCTCGCCCCTCCCACTGGCAGAAATTTGTCAAGCATTTCCCGGATGTGCGTTCCGATCAGCTGTACACTCTGCTCCTATCCCGTGGCGATTTGCGATCGTCCGATGCGAAAGAAGTAAGTTTTGGTGGAGAAAGTTCACTCCAGTCTCTCATTCATTGTACCGGGGTGTTGTCATTTTGCAGGAGTCTAAAGCATCTTATAAAACTCTTTGATTTCACGTGTGCTTCACACTTGATTGTGTTTTGGAAATGAAGTCCAATCACACCTCATAGCTAGTCAATACAAAGTATAAAATGTGTATTCAGTTTCATAATTTGTCATTTGGCTACAACAGCACGAGATGCCATAGGGGTGATGTTCCCTAAGCGTGCTCACAAATTTATTCTGCGCAGGATTCGGGAAGTTCGGCCATATCGATTTTCTGTCTGTTTTAGTCCTATTGTGAGAGCAATTGTGCCTGAGTTTATATAAAAATATATATATATATTAAATATCCTATGACGTACTCCTCGGGGTTTTGAAAAGTGAGTACATTCCAGCAACTGCAGCATAGCATATTGGACAGCTGTATGCGCTTTTAAGTAGGAAAAAAAAACAATAGGGATGTTTTCGACAAAATACAAAAAAGCATCGATGAACGCCGAAATCCGTCTCCAGAATCCAGCGGCTTACAATTAAACTTGGTGCCAACGCAACCACAACTGGCTTTGATGGCCGGTCTACAGTCTAGAATAAAACGAGACCGTAGGTGGAACTGGCCCGCTAAGTGTTTTCATATTCCAGTTTTGACCAACAAGACACACCGTCGCTCTTTTGTTCGATCCACTTCCAACAGATTTATTCGAGTCTCTTCTTTACGTTCATCATTTCAGAGACGTGGTCATTCCCTCGCAGTTTTACTTTCCCTCTCGTGTCCGTCTTCTAACTCCCCGATTT